AAAGTCAAACATATTTGGCAAAAAATACAGTCGCTCTACAAAGACTTTGAAGTGGACTGCAGGCTGCCCACATTGAAGCTATCCATGTTCACCAGCCCCGACAAGCCTCATCAGACCCAGCCTTTCCTTAGGGCAAAAGCTGGGGAATGCAAAGCATTGGTGCATCTGTTTGCACAACTGGCAGTGGAGTTCCATGAAGGAGATGAAGTCTCCTCCAAGATCCTGGCTATCTTTGAAGACATGGCAGCTTTTGTAGATTTGATGGATGCAGCTCCCAGGTTTCCAAGTGAGCAAGAGGCCTGCCAGGCAGCCTTTCTGATGACTTCCTTTTTGGGGCATTACAAGTGGCTGCAGCTGCACAGGTCCAATGACTTCACCTGGCACACAGTGATCAAATTTCACATGGCCAAGCATTTGGCCCTTGCTTTCAGGTTTGGCAATCCCAGACACGCATGGTGCTTTAAGGCTGAAGACTATGTGGGCAGAATCAGCAAGCTTGCACACACAGCATCGTTTGGCACAACAGCCACTTTGCTTTCTGTTAAGATCTTGAAAAAGTATCGGCTGATGATCTGTTTAGACAAATTATATGGAGTTCTTACGAAGACATTTAAGCCTTCAAGATCCCTATTATCTCGAAACATACGGTGTTTTCTAAGATCTGATGACGCAGCCCTATGGTTTCCAAGTGAGCAGATTCGTCATGTTTTGACACTCTCTTTGGGGCATCATGCAAGTGAAGGTAAGCCGCACGCGTCCAATGATCACCTGGTACAAGCGATCAAATTTCACATGGCCAAGAATTTGGCCCTTGCTTTCAGGTTTGGCAATCCCAGACACGCATGGTGCTTTAAGGCTGAAGACTATGTGGGCAGAATCAGCAAGCTTGCACACTCAGCATCGTTTGGCACAACAGCCACTTTGCTTTCTGTTAAGATCTTGAAAAAGTATCGGCTGATGATGTATGTCAGGTTCTGGAAGGGGCTGTGGACACAGTTGAAAGCAAAACCTGCAGATGTTGTTTGAGCCCTGTTCGGGGCGTATTTTGTTTTGGTGCCGTTTTTGCGTGATTTTGTCAAAAAAGATTGATATTTTTTTATATATATTTTTTCAGGAAAAGATTGATCTTCCTTGATGTGATTGGGAACACAAAAACAGCTATAAAATGCAAAGATTGATCTCCAAAAAGATTGATATTTTTTGATAGAAAAAGAGTGATTTTTTTTGATCCTGGATCCTCTGGGTGGGTCCGTCGTGGGTCCGTCGTGGGTCCGTCTTGGCACTCTGGTCATGGCCCGTCGTAGGCCGTTGTGGCTCCGTGGCGGGCCAAAGTCGGTCAGCTGCGGCCTGTCGTTCCGTCGCGGGTCCGATGGCGGGGGCGTCGTGGGTCCGTCGCGTCTTTGTGTCGTACGTCGTAGGCCCGTCGTGGGCTCCGGGCAAGTGGCTCGTGGCGGCACCCTCTTGGTGGGCTCGTCGCGCGTCCGTCGGGTCCGTCGCTACGCTGTCGTGGCCCCGTCGGGGTCCGTCTTGGCACTCTGGTCATGGCCCGTCGTAGGCCGTTGTGGCTCCGTGGCGGGCCAGTCGTGGGTCAGCCGCGGCCCGTCGTGGTTCCGTCGCGGGTCCGACGTAGGCCCGTCGTGGGTCCGTCGTAATTTTGTGTCGTGGGTCTGTCGTAGGCCCGTCGTGGGCTCCGCACTGGGCTCGTGGTGGGTCCGTCGTGGGTCCTTCGCGCTTCCGTCGTAGGCCCGTCGCGGGTCCGTCGGAGCACCCTTCTTGGTGGGCCCGTCGCGGGTCCGTCGTGGATCCGCCGCGCGTCCCTCGTACCCTTCTTGGTAGGCCCGTCGCGGGCGTCGTGGGTCCGTCGCGCGTCCGTCGTGGCCCGTCGTGGGTCCGTCGTGGGTCCGTCGTGGGTCCGTCGTGGCACCCTGGTCATGGCCCGTCGTAGGCCCGTTGTGGCTGCGTGGCGGGCCCGTCGTGGGCCCGTCATGCCCGTTCTGGGCTCCGTGATGGGCCTGTCGTTGTGGTCCGTCGACCCGTTGTGGGCTCTTTAGTGGGCTCGTCGTGGGTTCTTCGGCGCTTCCGTCCTAGGCCCGTTGTGGGTCTGTCGGAGCACCCTTCTTGCCCGTCGCGGGTCCGTCGCAGAGATTTGGCGATGGCTCAAAGAACTGGTCTGGAACGTTCCGCGGTGTTCCGGACGTCTGGAACGAGTCACTTACGTAAGTCATGCTGTTCCGGACCTTTGGGAATCCTAAGCAACAGTGTGCTAACATTGGGTTAGTATACACATACGTGTGTGCAAGCCATGATGTCTCCACAGCAAGAAGGGGATGAAGAGGGTACTCATCAAAGTACTGAGTGGGTCTTCGAGTAATAGTTTCGGCTGGGACTTGAATAGGGAATCAGGGAAGCAACGGCGGTTCAGGGAGGGGACCAAAAGGACGTTCAGAGATCACTTGCAGGTACGCATTGAGGCGTCCCTCAACGCTTCCGGCCAAACTTC